ATATGTTACATATACATATATATATATAACACATACATATATATATATATATGTATGATTACATACACAAACGCACACCCCCGAGGTGGGGTTCAGACTAGCATGGCCCCGGGTAGGTCGCGAAGTGGAAGGAGAATGCCTTCTTGGAGGTTGACTGCTGGACCACCTAACACAAGATATAGGGCTTTAGGGGTTTAGGGCTTAAGGTTTAGGGTTTGGGGTTTAGGGCTTTAGGGTTTAGGGCTTAAGGTTTAGGGTTTAGGGCTTTGGGGTTTAGGGCTTAAGGTTGAGGGTTTGGGGTTTAGCGTTTACGGGTTTAGAGGTTTAGGGTCTAGGGTTTGGGGGTTTCCCAAAACTTAGGGGGGTACCTTCAAGGGGGATATAGGGGTCTATGATTCTATAGGGATTTACAGGGAACTATGGGGTTTTGGGTTAAGGTATGGGGGTGATATCTTACACCCCCAAAATTGAGAGTCAAATGCAGAAGAACATCAAACATCAAATGAAAACTGAGACTATAGTAGTTTATAGGGATGAGGGTTTCCCAGCATTAGGGGTACTTTTTTGGGAGTGCGCAGAGTTAGGATTCTCGTATTTTGGAGGTCTCTATTGGGCCTCTCAATGGCATCCAGCTTATAGGGTGCTTCTATACCTTAAGGTAGGATTCTCTCGAGGGTTTAGGGTTTAGGGTTTAGGGTGGATGCTGGAGCTTCCCCCTAGCCCGAAAAAAATGCGCAGTGTGTAGGTGCAGAAGCAGCTGGACAATGAGATCATCACCAACTTGATCTCTGTAGGCACGCAGAGCCAGCTGATTGGCCGACAGTGAGTGTAAGCATGCCTGAGATGTGCCACGAGTGTTTCTCAAATTATTCTTTTTAGAATATAGAAAAGTGACCCCCTGTAATCTGGAAATATCCTAGGGCCCCTAAGGGGCCCTAAACGCTAAAGCCTAAACCCTAAATTACCCAACCCTAAACCGCGTGGTAATCCAAGAGACACTGACTCAACCCTAAACCCTAAACCCTAAACCCCTAAACCCTAAACCCCTGGATCGCAGGCGATTCTAACTTCGAGATGGATGCCTTGCATGTCATGGGCAAGCAGTTCGCGCAGGAGCAGACCCCTTGCAGTCAAACCCTAAACCCTGATTAGGGTTTAGGGTTTAGGGTTTAGGGTTGCACGCCTTTCTGCCTTGTTACTCAGTTTGGGTGGGTTTTTCTTCTGCCCATTCTTTGGCTTATAGGGTTCAAGCAGGTTATATAAACCCTTAACACTTAAACCCCTAACCCTTAACCCTCAAACCCCAAACCCCAAACCCTAAACCCTAAACCCTAAGCCCTGGGGTTTAAATCTTGCTGGAGGCTCTTGTCAAGACGATCAAGTTCCGTGAGAATCCGTCGCCAGAGGAACTCCTGAAACAGTTACCCGGCTTTAGGGTTTAGGGTTTAGGGGTTTAGGGTTTAGGGGTTTAGGGTTTAGGGGTTTAGGGTTTAGGGTTAAAGGGTTTAGGGTTTTTGGTTTATGGTTGGTTCGAAGGTTTGGAGTTTTGGAGGTTTTAGGTTTAGGGCTGTGCAGCTGTTTTGGGGTTCAGGGTTTGGGAGGATTTGGGTTCTAGGGATCGGGTTTAGGTTCCCGGTTTGGGAGTTGGGGATTTCTTTGGGTGAGAAGGGACTTCATAGTATTTCTCCAGATGCGTATGTGTCAAACTTGGGGATTCCCTCCTTACACAAAGGTCTAGGGTTTAGGGTTTAGGGTTTAGTAAACTCTGCCCTAAACCTTAAGCCCTAAACTCTGAATCCTAAACCCTAAACCCAACAATATATCTTGAGCAACCTAAATTAAGCCTCCCAGGCTGGAACTCGTCACGCAGAAGTTTGAGAAGATTGTGGAGAACGCGCGCAACCTCAAGGCGATACATGTCAATAGCACACCCATAAATATATAGTAATCTCCCTGGATAGTGGGACCACAACAACACACCCATAATACCATAATGCTGATTATAGGGATCCCCAAAAGGTACCTTAACTTTGGAAAACCCACACATATAATATGAATATGAATATACATGTATACATATACACGTATGCATAGACATATTTGTGTATTGGCAGATATCTGATGTATGCTCCAATATATGCCCGTGTGAGCTGCTGTTTCTTGCTGTTTCTGAGCGCGCGGCCCGTTGCCTCAGATTGGTTTGGAGAGAAAGTGGGTTGGGAACCCGCATGCCGTGGCGGTCTAAGTCCACGATTCGGAATCTTCGATCACATGCGGGAGTTTGCAAAAATGAGGCTCGTGCTAATCTACCCTGAAGCATGATCGCCTTGAATATGGTACAGTAGTTTGGACCCAAATATAGACCCTCATCAAAGGAACTCTCAAAAAGGTATTTCCAATTGTTGGGATTTTATGGAGACCCATGATTAATGAACCCCTTCCTTTTTAGGGGCCTTCACATAAGGATCCCTATTATAATCCCTATTAAGGGGAGGGGGTTTATTAATCAGGGGTCTACATTACCCATATAAGGAAGATCCCCAAAAAGGCACCTCAACCTTCGGGCCTCAAAACTCTCCTTGCTTAAGGCCTAGTCCTTCCAGAGCGACTTCCAAGCGACTCTCACCGGAGAGCAAGGGTTACTGGGTTGCTGTCAAGGAACTTAATTCTTTGGGTTTAGGGTTTAGGGGTTAAGGAACTTCATTTAAGTCACCATACTGGGCAAATCATATGAATTACTTCAGTTAAGTTCCTTAACATCAACCCGGCTTAGCAGTGACTGGTGGACCTTAGTTTCGAGGCTGTCAAAATGGCAGTTGACACAAACAGCCTCAGATGGGGCTTCTTTTCCTCCCTGACGCTTAGCAGGGAATGAGGGAATGGCCTAGGGGCCTAGACTCCTTACGGTTTAGGGTTGAGGCTCCAAGCACTAGAGCCACCCTCATTCCCAACTAAGCAACAAGAGTCCACCCTGGCAAAGTACCTTGGACCACTGTTGGAGAATTGGGGCAATGGCGGCTGCGAAAACTCAGCTTTGAAGTGCTGGGGGCTTTAACTTTGGGGTGTAAAGTCTTTTTGACTTGAGGGGTTTGGGGACGTTCGGGGCTCGTATTTCTAGGGTTTAGTCCGTTTGCGGGGTGTTAGGGTTTGGAGTGTTGAGGGCTCATCATGTTTCGTGGGGGGAATACAAAGGGTTCACAGCGTGTTCTTGAGAATTACTCACGATTATCCTTCGCACATTCTCCGATGAAGACTTTTGTCCTTTACTTACTTATATTCACTTCTGAAATCTCCTCCCCCCACCCAATC